CTCCCAGAACTCTTCTTTTATTAAGTCTATATGGAGTGGAGTATCACTATTTTATGCTTATCACTATTAGGGCGTTTTAGTCTTTTCCTCAGTAATATTGTGCCTTTTTTGTACACCTCAAGCTCATTGTTATAGTTTATGCCAAACTCACTGAACAATATTTCATTTTTATCACTTGATAGCGTGCCACACAACCTCTTCTCAGCTTCGGCAGGCGTTAATCCTCCTGTTAAAACTAGGTTCCAAAATGTTGTGTTGTACAAATTGTTGATATGGCAGTCTGCTTGTCTCCAACTAAGGTAGTCTTTCAAATTCTGATCTGTGGGATATAGCACTATCCTACCATCAAAAGAAGGAGGGTACTTCAGTTTTGGTCTTTGAAATAGCTATGCCAGTGATATACATAAGATGAGGTAAACAGACTGCTGATATAGGTCTATTTTTGATTTTCTTCTATTATGAAGTGTGCAACTCTTGCGTAGCACAAATGAATACTCATCACTCTGTCCATATGCCATTACAATGTCTTTATAATCCTGCATGACACATGTTGCTGCTTTATTCATCAAAGATATTGCCCTAAGGTCATTTGGCTTTGCAAAATTGTGTTTTGCTGAACTTATGGAATGCTTTGCCGTCTATCCTCACAACTATCCAACAATTTGGTAAAAGAGTCTCTTCCGATTCAAATTCACGCACGTATTCAAACTTGCTTTTTGCCATTTTGGGTATGATTACGGTTTGGAATGGATGTAGGAAACGTCTAGCGAGGTATTTCATTCCTATCCATATAATTAAATTATTGGACTAACTCAAACAACTTTTACAAAAACAACAAAAATATGTAACGAAACCTAACCTAACCTAATAAAAACTTCATAACATTTGTCATCTTGACAACAGGCATAGCTACTGCAAAAAGAAAGGTGAACAGTAAACTATAAATTCCGCCACTTTGACTGTGTATACATCTTCGGCCCGAGTAAAGAGAACATTGCCACGCAAGACAATTATTGAAATATACTCTACTAGACTATCCGTAGCTAAATTTTACTCGAAATCGTTGCACAAATCTTAAAAATATGCAAATGAAGATTGGACGACTGCCGCATTGACGTTCTAAATGAGCCGTCGTTACCCCGGGATAGACATACATTTTGAAAGTTGATCTTGTCAATCTTGTCACCTCGATTGCGGCGTTGCCAGCTTATCGAACGATTTTGATTTTGCTATCACCAATTCCTTGGACCTTCTGTTGGAGGCCTTGCTAATAGCTTTGAGATTTTTCAGAAATGATTGTAAGTACATAAGAATACTTACAAGAACGTTAGATTAGTGCACGTTTCTGTAAATTTCTTTCTATAATAATGTATTACAGGATGGCCAAGATAAGGATCAGACTAGGTCTCTGTAATCACACAATCTTACATCAGGCATTTGTTTGCAAGGAATACTCAAATATAATGAAAAGTAGAAAAAACGCCTTTCTTTATAACTAAAAAACAAATGTAATGTGATACATCGTTGAATTCGTAGAAAAAGCTTCTATTAGATACAGTGTAGCACTTTTTTAAAAACACCCTCATGTAGTGCCTAAATAAGTGCTATTAGTTTTTTACATTTCTTAAATAAAGTCAGACAAAAATAAAAACCATTTGGCCAAATTTTGGTTTTTCATGCGAGTGCTGTACCTCGCTGTGGCGATACGGTACGGCCAGATAGTGCAGCCACGCCCTTTCCAGCTCCCACTCCGCGCATCTGCTCCCGAAGCGACTCGATGACCGGTAGCAGACGTGCGGAGTGGGAGCTGAAAAGGGACGTGCGCTGTACTACCCGGCCGCACCGTATCGCCGCAGCGAGGTACAGCACTCACCACTGCTGGATGCTATGCTGTTCAATTTTCGTAAGCCGGCGCGCATGATGTCACGCCGACAGTGATTGTCATTTGGGTTGATATGGGTAACGTGCATATTTTCACCTACAGGCCAAACGGCTGGACGGATTATCACAAACAAAGTGTCGTTGGATTCGTCTTAGCAGTGCGAGTGATGTCAGCTACATTCAAATTTTATACCAAACAAAATTGTGGATTTTGATAAAATATTTCAACCTTGTAATTTCTATTTCACAGACAAATGCTTAAACGGATTCTAGCTCCACAATAGAGCGTATCGTCACTTTACTGCAAAAACAAGATAACTCCTTTTTTGTACATTAAATATATTTTAGTATGTTCTGTGGAACAGGATTAACATGTTCATGATGTTGATACTGTACTACATTTATTCTTACTACACAGAACATCCTAATTACATGTAAGTGTGTAACCCAAAAGCGTATGTTTCAAATTGACCTTATAGGCACTTTCACAAAAGTGCTTCGAGCAAACCCTAGTGCTTATTACATTGATTTTGTATTTTCTTTTTGTAAGATGTATCCATTTTCTGCTGAGGTTTTTATCCTGAGTAAAACTGTGGAACTTTGTCTTTCCGTTTAGACTGGTTGTTGGAATTATATCCCACAACATCACACCACATTTTTAACAATTTATCAACCACACAGGCAATATAAACTATATATAACTAATACAACAGGTCACAAACCACCAACAAATCGCACTATATAGTATTAACCACGATACATGCGAACTGCAGTAACGTTACGACAATCCTGCTGCTAGTAACTACGTTAGGTTAATAACTGTGGCATGCTGGCGATTTTCGATTGTACAAATGAATCCAGAATTGTGGAACGACTTGATTTTTCTTCAGCTGATACAATTTATTAATCCTAGCAGTGACGGTTGAGCTTTTCTAGGGTTTTCCTCGCCAAAGTGCCAATGCAGTCACTAAAAAACCATCTTCCCCTACTAAACAGTAGAGAAAATGAAAATTGTACTTCTTCTATTAATGATCATGTAATTTTAGATCAAATACTTATATATATAAATAAATATATTTATATATAAAAATTGTAGTATTTTATCCTATAAAACTGGGCATTTATAAAAGTGTTCTAATTCTCTACCGCATAAATGCCAGGCGACGCAAAATGTAAATAACATCTTTTTTTAGTTTGTTGGCAAACATTGCTACGCATCAAATTTGTAATATATCTCCATTGGTATCACCGTAATGTTTTATTCAAAACTTCTTTTTTATAATAACATTCTAGCAAAATAGCAGATGTAGCAAAGTTGTCTGATGAGCTGGCAATGCAGCAATCTAGGTGACAAGATGTCCAGGTCAACTGTCAAACGTATGTCTATCCCGGGTAACGGCGGAGTCATATAGTACGTAAACGCCTGTTTCCCAATCTTCATTTGCATTTTTTTAACGGTGTGCAACGATTTCGAAAAAAATTTCGCTACAGATAGTCTTCTAGAGTCTAGTAGAATAAATTGCAACACTTGTCTTTCGTGGTCATGTTATCTTTACTCGGGCCGCATCTTCTCATCATTAGTTGGGCCGTTTCCCGTGTTTAAACATGTAAAGAGGGAGGCATTTTCGAAAAGTCCAAATAGATTGATATAAAGAAAAAGGGACTGCATGTTCTGGAATCTGAAAAAGCGGAGAGAAATACTTGTTTTCTCTTATGTGTATGATCTGGAAGTTGTGCTTCTCCTTCCTAGAGCTCTATACTTGTGCCACCTGACAGTTGCCTGACGGAAGATGTCAAATGTGACGTCATCAAATCAAAATATTGATGTCAATAAAAATTGTTATAAAAACCTCAAATTAATATACATTTTTTATTAAAAGCAAAATGTGAATAACTCGTAAATTAGCAACTGTGCATTTTCACATTCATTCGGTCTAAACTACATCCTTTTCTGTTTTGTGACTATGGATATTTGGTGTTTTATTCTTGGTCTGTATTTCAGTATTATTTGGAGTTATTTTAACTTTAGCTGTGCAATACTACATTTTGTATGTTTATCTAAAAAAGGAGCCAGTTGCTAAACCTAGTCAGAGACCAAACTCCATTGAATATAAGCTACCAGAGGTATAAATTTCATGTAAATTTATTTACACCCTTTCCATACAGTACCTCCTTTTAGGATATAAAAAAGCAGCTGGATACCAGCACACTGACAGAAAAAGGAAAAAATAGTAGTCTACCTATAAGCCTAGTATTACAGTTTTTATTTCATGAGTTACGGCACTCAGAATATATCAAAAGATGGCTTTACAAGAAGCTTAGCTTAGAGTTTGATGAACTCCTTACAAAAACCACCATAGGAAAATTTTTTGATTCAATAAATGTAAGTACTTGCATAAATTTGTTTTATTTAGAAGTAAGATAATTCTCTATAAACATTAACATCTAGATGGTATTACTATCTATAGAACAACCTCATAGCATTTATCCAAGGTTGCTAGCTATTAAAAAAAGTCTAGTAATGTTATTTATGATTATGTTTCTCACTGAGATAAGCTATTAATGTACTTATGTAATATGGTTTATTATTCAGAAAATATATACAAGATGACTTTGTGCTGCCTTATTTTGATAGACCTTATATTCTGAATAGAGTTGCGCAGATTTGTTAATTGTTCACCAGGGCCAAGCCTACATCATGCTGAAAACTTGACCATCTGTGGTCAGATGAATGACATCTATATTGATGAATCTTACACCAGAGAAATTCTAATTTCCCATAATTTTATTTCAAACGTCACTTTATTGACATATTTCTCTCATGAAGTCCAATATTTGATTAATGTATACATATAAAAATATGGAATCCTATGAAAAATAGCAGATAAGCCTTGAACTTGGAACTCTAGAAAGTTTTTCAAAGATTTTTTTTTTCTTGCAGATTAAAGACATGCACTTAGGAACTGAATTCCCAGATATAAAAGATATATCTGTGGATAATGTAAAGCTAGATAAAAAAGAAGGTTATATAGAAACCGTAAGCTTATGTTTAGACCTAGAATATACAGGAAATTTTATGCTCAGTATAGATGCAAAGATGAAGTTTGGAAAAGCTGCTTATCTTTCTATAAAAGGTATTTGATCTATTTTCTGTATGGAATTATTTCTATTAATGATAATATTGTCAAAATCTGTGCTGCTATGAATTTCTTGAACAATGCTTGATTTGCCCTGATGCTTTCCACACAGTAAAAATCTACATCTATACTTCACTCATATGTCAAAGCTAAAACAATTTTCAGCCTAAACTCAATGAAACATATTTAAGTTAAAGTTTGATTACATCTATCATGGAGGTGTGAACTTATTCATATAATAATAATCCTAATTCCAGTGAAGCGTATCAGTGGTCAAGCAAGGCTACAGTTCTCCAGGCAACCCTATACCCATTGGTCTTTCAGCTTTTACACAGATCCTTTATTAGAATTAGCTGTGGAGTCCTCACTTCCAAGGAAGACAGCTGCAGTCAAATATCACCAATTTGATTGTTAATCAGATAAAAAAGGCCATCAAAAGAAAGCATACATTGCCAATTATAAATAAGGTAATTATATCTGACTCTTAAATTCAAGCTAAGCTTTTAGTTAATATACCAGCAAAGAAGCTATTATTTGCAATAAACATA